ACGAGCCGCCATCATATACTTGCTACATTGTGGATGGAACAGGACATCAGATCACCGGTTAAACAAAGGAAAAGAGGCATGGACCAAGTTTTGATCCCCAACAAAGCATCACCAACATGACATAATATTAGGTTGGTTGCTTCCTTGCTTCTCTTGTTCTGCATTATTGTCTGTCACCAGGACCATGACGTAGGGCTCACCATTGCTTCAATTATTTGTAACTAAATTCTAATTGGTTGGGCATATTGATTATTCAGAGCTGATTTCGTTGAATCTCTGCAACCAGGTGGTTGCTTCAGATGTGAGTTGTCGTTTACGAGGCTACCCAGTGAATATTGTGATTTGGCAAAAGCAACTATACCATCGGCAATCTATATGTTTTTGGCGCATGGTATGATTTAAAAAAATAATGTTTGATTAATTTCTATATTAAATAAATGCTAGCTAATTTGCAATGGTTTGCAGACGAGCCACCATCATATGATTTCTACATTGTGGATGGAATGGGACATCAGATTGCCGGTTAAACAAGGGGCAAGAGGCAGTTGACCGAGTTTTGATCCCCAGCAAAGCACCACCATCATGACATAATATTGGGTTGGTTGCTTCCTTTCTTCTCTTGTTTAATTTCTACGTTAATGGCTATCACCAGGAGGATGACGTAGGGCTCACCATTGCTTCTATTATTTGTAACTATATGCTAATTGGTTCAGCATATTAATTATGCGGAGCTGATTTCATTGAATCTCTGCAACCACGTGGTTGCTTCATATGTGAGTTGTCGTTCATGAGGCTACCAAGTAAAGATTGTGATTTAGCAAAAGCAACAATTCTACCGGTAATCTATATGTTTTTGACCCGTGGTTTATATAGTCTTTGATTTATGCAAGACCAGCGGCTATTCGAAGAAATGATAATTTGGACTACGTTGAACATGCAAGGCTATGTAGGAGAGAAAAATGCTCAATGTTGTGTTGTCTCAATAGTTTGCATTATATTAATAAAGAAAAATTTGTTCACAATTATAGGTAACACATCTTGAAAATTTTATGTGAAATTGACCATTCGTCGTACCATGATTTGATATACATTAGGCTATTAATAAATTTATGGTTTGATAACTTTTATTAGTTCATGTATTTATTATAAGATCTAAGTCTAATATTGCTATTTTTTATTTATATATGAATTTTTCATAGGCATGTGTATGTCGCAAGTGCATTTTCACTTGTTATTAATAATAATACAACAAAAGCAATAATCCGGTACACAATTGTCGTAGCAGTACGACACGAGCACTAAAAGTGGAGGATATGAAATTCTTACACACCCAAATCTTACTACCCTAGCAGTCCAAGTATCTTTTAAAATTCGTAAATACGGCTGCGTACTCTTAATAGTAATGTACGTACTGATTCGAATTACATCATCCATATCAATTATGTCAACGCATATATACTGATTGGTGTCTGGGTTTCGTGTGCCAGGTCTACACAGGAACACACGCAATCTTTTCGTTATCTGCTTCTTCGGTTGTTTGGAGGTTGTTGAACAACCGGGCGTGTCCGGTCGTCACAAAGCACCCGAATGGGCGGTAGACACTCCCTCTCTGCAGATTCATATGTACAAAAAAAAATCCCAGACAGAGCAACATTGGTAGTTATGCAACCCCTCCAACCCCAACTGTTTTGCATCAGCCTCTCCGACCTTGACTACTCGGCTCCACTGCTATATAAACACTGCCCCCAGGCCCCTCTACTCAAGTCACAAACCCCACTCTCTTTACTCAACACAAAAGCATCATACACTCTCAGTCTCTCTCAGACCCGCATCGTCAACCATGGTGAGTGACGTGCCACATCAGTTTAACTGCTAACCAAGCATATGTTGATAACAGGCATATCTATGACACCATTCCTGTCACCATTTTCTTTGCGTGATGCAGGTTGTTGAGATGAAGGAGAACGGCAGCGTGGCGTTGGCGGCGGGCGAGAAGGCGCCGCAGCTGGGCGTGAAGCGCGGCGAGCCGACGCTGGTGCCGCCGGCGGAGGCGACGCCGACGGGCGAGCAGTACTACCTGTCCAACCTGGACCAGAACATCGCGGTGATCGTGCAGACGGTGTACTGCTACAAGCCCTCGCCGCCGTCGCCCAGCGGCGGCGGCGGCAAGGACGTCGACGTGGCGGCCGCGCTCCGCGACGCGCTGGCGCGCGTGCTGGTGCACTACCACCCGCTGGCGGGGCGGCTGGGGATCAGCCCGGAGATGAAGCTGACCGTGGAGCTGACCGGCGAGGGCGTCGTGTTCGTGGAGGCCGACGCCGCCTGCGACCTCGCCGCCGTCGGCGACCTCACCAAGCCCGACCCCGCCGCGCTCGGCCAGCTCGTCTACTCTGTCCCCGGCGCCAAGCACATCCTCGAGATGCCCCCGATGACCGCGCAGGTACATTAACTGCTTCTCTTGCACGTTTCCGGTTGGGTGTCCGGCGGCCGAGGTGACCGGCCCGGTTTGCCACCAACGAACCGTGCCGTTAATGTCGGCCTGGCTCCGTGCGCCGTTTTGGTGAAAAGCTCGCTCGTGCACGCATGAATGCATGCACCCGTCCTACTTTTACTGCCGCCGCGTGCAGCAGCAGCAAAGGAACTGTAGAGTTATTGGTTGGAAGTTGACGGGGGAGTTGAAAGATGGATTCAATGAGATGCCGCTTTGGTTTTAGCTAGCATAGGAAATTGAAGAACGGCTAGAAGCATGCTTAGTATCTCTTTGTTTGCTTCAAATGAAAAACCTAACAGGTTTTTCATTCATTTTTTAAAACAGATTAAATTTGGTCCATAATTTGGTTCAGTTATGTAAATTTGTTTGGTAGTCAACCGTCACTCGCATTGGTAAAACCCCAGAAACATGAAGCATGTTTAGCGGCCTGTTACTGGCCCCACAGTGTTCTCTTGACTATAGTGAAATAGCACTACAGTGTTCACCTGATCCAGCAATTGCAACCTTTCTCTCTGTCTTAGTGTTTGTTAAAAAAATATATAAAAAATTTGTCGATTTGAAGGTGGGGGTGGTTATAGTCGACACATATACTCTCTCTAGTTTTTCCAGTTAGACCGAGACAACTCAAGCACTCGGCTGGTTGCCTGCGATGACTTGTAATTGTTTTTCTGGTAGCATCGTTAGATCACCAACCTCTACCTATAAATCAAACCAAATTACACCACCTTCCATCTTTTGTCTTCTATACCCATGAATGAACACAACAAATGTGATTTTCCGACATGTGGGGTCCCAAGATGAAAAGAAAATTCACACGTGAGAAGTTCTTCACCAACTCAAGTGACAAACCACTAAATTACTTGGTTCAAATCAAGCATAGAGCTATTCAAAGTCAGAAGACATCTTTTCCTTTCCAATTTTATCCTCAGATTTGTCGGTAACCAGCGATGTGGAATTACTCATACAAGCAATTTTTTTTTTTTTTACCATGGGTTAATTGATGTGCAGGTGACGAGGTTCAAGTGTGGGGGCTTCGCGCTTGGCCTGGCCATGAACCACTGCATGTTCGACGGCATCGGCGCCATGGAGTTTGTCAACTCGTGGGCCGAGACGGCCCGCGGCGTCGCTGAGCTAACCGTGCCGCCGTTCCTGGACCGCAGCGTCCTGAAGGCGCGCGACCCGCCCGTGCACACCTTCCCGCACCACGAGTTCGCCGAGATCCCCGACGTCTCCGACACGGCGGCGCTCTACGGCGCGCAGGAGCTGCTGTACCGCTCCTTCTGCTTCGACCCGGACCGGCTGGAGCGCGTCCGCGCGCTGGCGCTTGCCAACGGCGCCCTGGGCCGCTGCACCACCTTCGAGGCGCTGTCGGGCCTCGTGTGGCGCGCGCGCACCAAGGCGCTCGGGCTGGCACCCGAGCAGCGCACCAAGCTGCTGTTCGCCGTGGACGGGCGGCGCCGGTTCTCGCCGCCGCTCCCGCGTGGCTACTTCGGCAACGGCATCGTGCTGACCAACGCCCTGGCCACAGCCGGCGAGCTGCTGTCCGCGCCCGTGTCGCGCGCGGCCGGACTGGTGCAGGAGGCCGTGCGGATGGTGACCGACGAGTACATGCGGTCGGCTGTGGACTACTTCGAGGCGACGCGGGCCCGGCCGTCGCTGGCGTCCACGCTGCTCATCACCACGTGGTCGCGGCTCGAGTTCCACGGCGCCGACTTCGGGTGGGGCGAGCCCGTCATGTCGGGCCCAGTCACGCTGCCTGAGAAGGAGGTCATCCTCTTCCTCGCGCACGGCAAAGAGAGGAAGAGCATCAACGTGCTGCTCGGCCTGCCAGCCACCGCGATGGACGCCTTCCAAGAGCTCATGGACGAGATATGATTGATTTGTCGGTGATGAGAAGCAATGACGGACATGGATGGGTTGCTATGCATACATATATGATGCGTAGGGTGCTTTCATTCTTGAACTGCTAGGGTTTATAGTAAGACCGTGTTAATATTCGTTCTATGTTGGTGTTTTAAGTTTATTGGCTATATGATAATTTGCTATCGGTTGCAATGGTTCTAAGATGGTTCACGCTTAATGGAAAATAGTAATGGTTGTTCCTTTTATTGTAGTTGACGACATGTTCCCTTTTACTTATTATATTATTGGAGAGTAAATTTAGCACTAAATTTTGAGAAAATCTAGTACTAAATTATTAAAATTAAGAGTACATTTGTACTAAACTAAGAGTAAATTTAGTACTAAATTATTGGAGATGCCGCAATAGTTAAAGCTAGTGAGCATCTCCAAAAGTTCTCAAAACACTCTCCCAATCCTTTGATTTTTAGCAAAATTGGAAAAACATGTCTCCAACAGTCTCCAATACTACCTCCTGATCTTTTAGGACTCGGTAAATTGCGTGCAGGCTCGCTCCTCCCAATCGCGCGGATCCTCCACGGGGTCGCGACTCGCAAGCTCTTGACGCGGCTGCACCGTGCGGATGGGAAGACAGATCACTGCATCGCCCATGGTGGCGGCCGACGGTGCGGCTACCCGGACTGCCCTAAAGCCGCGCGGGGCAAGTCTGGGCGGTGCATCAAGCACGACGGCAGGAACAGGTGCTCCGTAGAGGGCTGCATCAGGAGCGCCGAGGGAAGGGTCCGGCTGTGCATCTCTCACGGCGGCTGGCACGGCCACGTGATGCGTGCACCCCGGCCCATCTGGCCGGGCTCCATACATGTGCATGTGCACGTCCTATCAATGCCTGTATGCCTAGCACGTTTGTTGCCATGGCGGCATCATGCCTGGAGGATGCGCGTGCTTGATCGATCAGTGTCTACGCACAGGGTGTTCAGTCGATCAGTGACTGCCGCAAAGGCGCACGGCGGCGGGAAGCGGTGCATGTACGAGGGCGGCGCCGTGTGCTCCAAGAGCGTCCACGGCGGCGCGCACAGCGGCGGGAAGCGGTGCGCGGTGCCCGGGGGTGCAGAAAGAGCGCGCGCGGGCGCACGGACCGCTGCGTGAAGCACGGTGGTCGCAAGCGGTGCAGGGTGGACGGGTGCGGCAAGAGCGCGCAAGGCCGCAAGGGAGCACCGAGTACTGCAAGGCCCACGGCGGCGGGAAGCTGTGCAACTTCGGCGACGGCTGCGAGAAGTTCGCGCGCGGCCAGAGCGGGCTCTGCGGGGCGCACGGCACGCTGGTGGCCTCGCAGCAGCGCGGCGGCGGCGGCGGCATGATCGGGCCGGGCCTCTTCCACGGCATCGTTCGGTCCGCCAGCGCGGCTAACATGAACAGAGACTACTCGTCGTTGGGCGTGAGCACGGTGTCTGACTGCGGCGGCTGGCCTGAGGTGGCGACGAGGAGGCAGGGGAGTTCTGGAGGAGAAGATGAAGTTTTGGAATCTAATTTTGGGAAACTGTTGGAGTTGCAATATTTTTTTTTTGTCTCTCAATATGTTTAGGGAAGTTTGAAAAACCAATTTTTAGGAGTATGTTTTTTTTTTACTCTTGGAGATGTTCTTATTAGCTCTAAGACAACTTCTTCAATATTACTGACTTTTAGCACATAGCTTTTAACATGGATAGTTCACATGACACTCTCACGTAACCTTAAAATATGTGCAAGAGTTTAACTCTTGATAATGTGTTAGTTTTTTTTCTCTCTTTTATTAAAATATGATAAAATTACTTAGAGCTGGCTCAAGAATCAATCGTTGGAGCTCCCCAGGACATGTTCTCTTTTACACATGACTTCTGTGCATACATCTCGTGCACATACTAGGGAAAAAAATGAAAGTGCGTCTCTACCGCTAGCAGCCCAAAAGTCCTGGCAAAATAGCCCACGCTGGGCGTGAACACAATACGCCATGGCCATTTCAGATGTGGCCCAATAAGCAACATAGTAGTACTGTACCTTTTTTTTTATGGGAGGTAGTACTGTATTTGGTAAGTAGACCCTGGAGACATCCAGCACGATGCAAGAATTCAGTCTGAAAACAAAAACAGGTGAAGGGTACAGTTAAAACGTTCGTTGTACGCAAAGGCCACGTTCGGGTTATAGTTTCACTGGTCAATCTGGACCATCCGCACATGACTCGATGGTCATGGTTGCATGCAGTTTGTGTTCAGTACAAGAACGTCTCAAACTCTTCCAATCGCTTCTGTAAACGAGTCGGGACGGGACGACACCGCCGCAATCCATTAGGCTCTCTGTCCACTTGTTACAGCCAAAATTCCGCTGCCGATCTCCCTCCGACACTCACTATCCCAAGGTATAGCCATGTACCTTGCCGGCTTTAGCTAACACCTAACAGGGCAACAAACAACACGTAGCGGCCTGTTTGGTGAGACTCCCATCCCATCGATGCTTATCTGAACCTGAACATACACGAAATATCCTACTGCACTGTCCACGTCTCACGCGCCACGCCAGCGAAGCGAGCACGGCTGAAAACCACAGCTCCACGTGTCCACGTCCGCACTAGACCGCACGCAATGCGCAACCCAGGCGCCAGATATATCACGCATTGATGCATCATCAGTGAACGGGTCGCGCCCGACCGCGACGGCACGCGTTGCCGACGAGTGGAAGACCGACCGCTCGCTCGCCGTGCCTGCCACACCAGCTAGCTAGCGCACATCGAACGAGAGTGGAACGGGACGTCAGCTCGCGCCGCGCGTGCACGCTGTCGTCGTTGCGATGTAGACGATGGTGGCGGCTCGTGCGGCGCGAGACGACGCCATGGCTGACGCCGTCCCTCTCACCCGTGGTGGAGGCGTGGAGCACCCAGCACTACGAGCGAGAGGTGTAGCTAGCTAGCTAGCTGCTCGTAGACTAGGCAGCGATTCACAATTATTTCTCTGAAGAAAGGTGGCGAAATGAATATGTTTGTGCGCGCGCGCTGCGCAACGCGGATCTCGCGTTTCTGTGGTGCGTTCCAGGTCGGAGCAAATATTCCGCTCGCCGGTGTCGCGCTCATGGGTCCAGGTGACCTTTCGCTTTCGGTCTCTTCTTTTTTCTCGCCATGCTTCAGCTAGCTCAGCTGTTCCAGCGTCTTCCCCCCGAAACAACTCCAAACAAAAGACAGGGCCACACCGAGAGAACCCGGCTTTATTCGGGCCGAAAAGGCAGGCAGGCAGGCAGGTTCATGTGAGATGATGCTCGTGCTCCCGTGTCACACACAGCTACTGCTCCCCCGTCGCGCACCGCTGTGAGGGATACGCATTGTAGGTAATGCAGGCAATGATGATTATGCATAGGCGTGCTCATAACCACTGATAAAGGATGGATGGACGGGGTTTGGCACTGGCGATCCCTTTTGAGGCGAGACAAAGCCGCAAAGCCCTCTCTCGCTCACTTCTCAAGACACGACGGCTGCCGCTGCAGCACACAAGGACGAAAGACAAGATGCAGTGAACTTTAAACAGTAACCAATCCAGAGACGAGAAAATAATGCACACCGTACCGAGCTTTATTTGCTGCCCTTTTCTTAAATCATACAAGTCTAATCACCAATAGGAACTTTAGGGTGTTTGGTTACTGGGACTAATTTTTAGTCCCTGTCACAACGGCCGTTCAGATATTAATTACAAGAACTAAATATGAGTTAATTATAAAACTAATTATACAGATAGAGACTAATTTACTAGACTAATATATTAAACATAATTAATCCATCATTAGCGCATATTTACTGTAGCACTACATTATCAAATCATGCACTAATTAGGCTTAATAGATTCGTCTTGTAAATTAGTCTCCATTTATATAATTAGTTTTGTAATTAAAATATATTTAATACTCTAAATTAAATTAGTATCTAGACATCCGATGTGACAGGGACTGAAAATTAGTCGACTAACACCCCTTTATCACGCGGCAATGCCATTGCAAGTATATTACTGATCGGGTAGCATGTGGTCCAAATGCAACTTGTAATCACTTTAAGAGAGGGGCCAACAACACATGCGTCCACCATATATGACCACTTCATGGCTACAGCAAGCACAATTACAACCAAGATAACACGCGAGTCAAATGGAAAGAGGTACACTAATGCCGGCAACCTGCTGTCTTTTACCTTTGTTCTCCATTTATTCACAGGCCAATTTTGTATCAAAGCTGCTCAGACAAATGGCGAATGCCTGGCAAGCCGAGAGAGGGTACCGATAGTCCATTGTGAACATATCCCTTGCCACTTTTCCAAACTGAAGAATCACCTTGTCAGGATCTGATGGAGCAGGCTGCGAGGGGGTTGGCGCACCTGCAGGTGGTGGGGTTGTCGCGGCAATCAGCTGGAAGTTCTTCACCGAGGCAATTGTCACACGGCCACGGAAGTTGAGGCACCAGCACTGCAGCTGTTCATGCCACCTAGGCGGCTTATTACGAAGCACCAATGGCCTCTCCTTGGTTTGACTCTCCTCTTCGTTGTCCAATCTGCCGCCAGCAATGTCGGAGAAGCGAGCACTGCTGCCAGGAATGCCCGTAAAGAGCGCACTGCTACCAGGAATGCCCGTGAAGCGAGCACTGCTGCCAGCAATGTCAGAGAAGCGAGCGCTGTTGAAATCCATGGATGAGTCCATGATGGACTTGGACAATGAGGTGGTGCTACGGAACGACTGCGAGAAGGAAGCCGTGCTGCGGAATGAATCCTCCAGAGCTCGAGGTACAATCTGCTCTGGCTGTCCAGGCACTATGCCACCTGGCTCCACTGATGAGGCGGGTATGGAGTGCATGACGCAACGCATCCGCCTAGGACCTCTTGTGCCAAGAACATTGAGCTCATATGACACCTGCGCGATGTTGCAACTAACGGAAGGCAACTTTGGAGAGACTTTTGTGGAGTTGAACCTCCTGCTGGTCCTTCCGGCAGGAGGAACTACATCTCCATTATAGGTGGGTTGTGTATCATAAATTAAAAACCTTGTGCCAAGGAAGTTCGACCTGAAAATTAGCAATGCTATGCTTGTTGTTAAACTGTCAAACAGACTAAAAAAAACTAGTGTATCTTTAGAAGACATAATGTTTACCTTATTTTTCCAATGTAGGTCCTGCTTGATCTTGAGATGTTGCCAGAATCCATTGATATAGTGTACTCGGTGCAAGTGGTTTTGCGGTGTCTTTTAGCTGATAAGAGGAATTTCCCACTTTCTGAAGTAACAACTGTGCACAGAAGAGAAAAAATGAGTCGACAAATTCAATAAGGTAAAATAAGATAAACAATTCATTGATCATTTAACTACAAATATTCTCGTGATTAGGTTAAAAAAACAAATATTCTCATGAAGATGATATTGAAACACCACACAATTTCAGAACCTAAGAGGTTAAGATATAATCATGAAATCAAACACTCAAACAATAAAAAAAAAATCTGGCTCATAATAATCCCATATGCTCCATAAAACAGGATAAAACTTATGAGCATTGCTATTGAATCTTGAAAGTATGCAAAGCATGCGACATACCATTGCTAAGGCACAGGTAGAGATGGTAGGTGGATTTTGACTTATTCCTCTTTATAAAACACTGAATCATTGTATTTCCATCTCGAGGGCCAGGCTGTCAAAGAAACAAGCAATGTAACAAGGACAAGAAAGATATCTGCTGCTCAAGCCTTGGAGCTAATTCACAGCAGCATTCGGTTCAACGATTGCTAACGGAAGGAGGTTGATTCTTCTTCCCCTTACCTGTTTTAGAGACACAGGGAAGGTGAGCTTCCCACAAAACTCCGGGCTCAACACAATATCTTTACACATCTCCCTCCATGTCCTACAAACAGCTGCGAAGCAAACGACGTGCTTCCGTGCTGGCCAGGTGCTCTCATCAGCCTCCAGTCTCCGTATGATATCACGGATGAGTTCAGGAGGGAGATTCGCCCAGCGACTTTCACGAATTATGGAAGGTGAGTCGTCGACGACATGTGATAAGCTCTGGGTCTTCCCTTTGTGATGCCCAGTAAGGCCATAAATGCTTGCGAGGGTCACCTCGAAGCTTCTCCTCGACAAGCTGCCGAAGCCATCCCTAACATCACGGACTATGCTACGAAATGACATCTACGGTAACCAATTCCAGATAACAAGGCATACAAAATCCAGGAGACTATAGCCTGAAAATGGAAAACAAACAAAGGTTACAAACTAGTACACTAGATTTTCGGCAATTGGACTTGATTGAGGATGAACAAGGAACAGGTAGCTTGAAGTACCTCCTTTCAAATGACAACAGCAATAGAAAGTGCATATGCTAAAGAAACAGCCGCTACAAGCTGCCCCTGCAAAAGGAAAAAAAACAAAAGAATTAATGAGAGAATGTTTAACATGGATGGAATTGACTGGCATATGGCCGCATCATCACAACTTTTAGTTGATTAAACATAGACATCATAACTACCGGGCATAGCCAAACAAGAAACTAAATCAGATTCCAAATCCATCATTGGTCGGGATGCAAGCAGAGACC